TGTGTTAAGTTATAATTTTCTATACCTTTTTCTGTTTGTAATGAAGGTGGTGGACCTCTTGGCTGTCTAACTGGTTCGACAGTTTGTAAAGCTGGTGCTTATGCTTTTTGAGCAACTGCTTGCTAGGCTATTTGTGATTGGAAATCGGCTTTTTGCTTTTCTAATAAAAACTGATATTTAGTTTTTTCCTATGCCAGTGTGTTTTGGATTGCTTTTTGCATATCTTCTAAAAAAATTTCTTGCTGTTGAGAAGCTAAAATGGGTAAGGGTTTATATATTTCTCGAAATGCTCATTGAAATACTAGTAGATCAGGTATTCTATCTCTTTTATGTTTAGCAATTCATCATGACTCTATCTTATAAAGCTTTTTAGCTAATTCATCTAATGGCAAATGTTTACCGATATCCTCAGCTTTTTCAAGTCATGGAATAGAAAGGGCATCTAAGAACTTATTATGTAATTCTTTAGGCCTATAGTTAGCTCATCTACCTATTCATAACAATATTCTATATAATTCATCTATAGTCATATTTCCTTTTCTAATTGTTCCATATTGCAAATTCTGAAGCTCCTCTTTCACTGTAGGAAAATGTGTTTTTAGCCACCATATGGCTTGACCAAAATGAATACTAGCTATAACTACTATAGTACTATTATTAGCATTTGGTACATTAACAGCAATATTAGTAGAACGACTATCTGCTATGTGCCAATCTTCATCCCAAGAACCTTTTACAGCTCTTAATTTGACTATTGCATTATCAGGTTGGCCGAGTGCCTCATTTAATGCTTGATTTCCTATTTGAACTGCTATTCTCCCATTTATAGCTACTAAGTTGGCCTGCCCTGTATTATCAAGTAAGTTTGCTAATTTCTAATTCTGTTTTGTAGTAATCTCTTCATCAAACTATTCTAAAGCTCTTTCTTTTATACATCTTCTTAAATATCTTATAGCTACTTCTCTTTCTGTTGGTGGACCTCCAGCATTATCTGCTAGATTTACTTTTTGGTTTTGCAAGTATAATCTAAGTTTTGCAAGGAAATCTGGTATATTTTCACTCCAGTCAAAAATAGTTGTGGTATTCTTACCATTCCTATTCATTGTATATTAGGTAGATTATTCTGTAATGTAAAAATTTGTTGATTTAAAATTAAAATATTTTGGCACTCTGCATGAGTCTTATTTTTTCACTTCTCATATTATTCATATAACCTATCTCAATTATATTCTAGCAAAGCTTTATCAGCTCTGCATTGTTGTAGCTAGTGGGCATTTTGCTAATACAATAACTGGAAAGCAAAATTTTCACATAGTAATGCACTGATACAGGTTTGCTTTATTGTTATATTATTTATTATTCTGTTTACTTGATTCTGAGCATTAGTCCATAACTGATGAAGTTCAAGTAATGCCTGGTCTTGCTTCTGCCTGTATATATCACAATTCCATCATTTGTTCACCAGATCTTGTTGCAAGTTAGTATATTTATGCCGAATTGCTCTTGTTGATCTTTTAATTTGATTTGTTAAAATGGTTTTACATATTGTTGTATTATTTAAGGATCAATCTATAGCATCGGCCAATTCAGCTATTGTATCCATATTATCAGAATTATACAAGTCTAGAGAATTTTTATTAGAATCATATTCATTTTTACCAAAATTCCATGCTTGTGCATTTTGTAAAGCCTCTTGTATATTTTTAAGCTCTAATCTATCTCGATATCTTAATAATGCTAATGCAAAATTTTGACAAAGCAGGTCTGTAATATGATTTTTTTGCTAATTTATTTTATTAATCCTATTTATTTAATTAACACTTATTGTATTTATTTCTCGTTTAAGGCATTCATTTTTGTCTACTAATCTGGTTGTATAATCTTGTGCTTTAGATGTATTTCCAGCTGATTTAGATATCTTTCATATTCTGGTTTTTAATTTTGTTTCGCGTTCATCGAATTCTGATATTAATCTATCTTTATTAGAAATTTCTTTGTCTTTTTTTTTATTTTCTTCTTCTAGTTGGTGAATGATTCTTTTTAATTTTGAAATTTTTTCTATTAATTCTTTTTTCTCTTGTGTAGAGAGTTCGATAGCATTATTTAACTCTTCTTCAAGAAATCGTATTCTCACTTCTTGTATACCTATAACCCTTTCTAAGGTATATAGTCACTGTTCGAAATTCCTATTTGATTCTGCTAATTGTGATACTACCTCATAGAGTTCTTGATTAGTTTGTTATAACTCATTCATTGTTTTTTATTACTATAATAAAACAAAGGAATAAAGAAATCTATAATTTATATTGACCTACAAAGGGCCTGTAATTTGGATAGGGAGATTACTTTGCAAAAAATTTATTATAGGCCTAAAGGTTATTATTGGGCAGCTGAAAAAATATGGGATGCTTATAAGAAGGCAAGATATGAGTTCACTTTGGCTATAATAAAAAATTGGCTTAACAAACAGGCCTTATATCAGATCCATAAACCTTGGCCAAAATTTATCCAATATGCTTCTTTTAACAATATATGAACATTGAATAAAGTACACCAGTCTGATACTACACCTATGCTTCACGATAAAGTTGGCAATCAAACTTATAAATACTAAGAAGTGATAAAGGATATTGCAACTAGATATCAACACAGTTTCATTTTGATTGATAAAACAGCTATGCAAATGGTTAGAGAAATTCAGAAAATTTATGATGATCCAAATTGCCTACTTATCTAATCTACAGTTTTGATTATAGACAAAGACACTGAATATTTAAATGAGTGCAAAGATTTATTACTTAGCTGTGATGTAAAAATTCAGTATGCTGTAACTAAGGAAGATATTGCTATTGCTAAACATGATCATCAAGAATTTGAAAAACATGCTTTTTATAGACAAGTGCTATTGATTTTTGTTTACCATTAACTGAGAGATATAGAGCTTGGGTTAAAGGTCTTCATATAAATGATAATACTTTTAATAATACTGTTACTCGATTAATACATATGACTCCTAATGAAGCTGTAAAAAGAGCATTAAAAGGTGAAAAAATATTTGCAGAACCAGTAGTAAAATATAGAAGACCTGTTGAATTTGATGAACCACATTTGTCATATAAAAATTTTGTTCAATATTTACTTAAACCTGGTGAGTTAGAATATGGTTCACCTATAAGACAGATTACAGATAAAAATTAGTCTCCTCAGGTTTATCAGATTGAAAGTACTTTAATTCATAAAGATCAATCTGTTATGTATAAATTAGAAGGTAGACCAGAAAAAAAATTTGTTCGTGAGCAATTACAATTAATTAAAAAAGTTGAACTTCCTCCTACATGGGTGCTTAAATAATAATTTACTCATCTATAAGTACATTTTCAACAGCTTCCTCAATTTCTGTTTTAGTTATAGGCTGATCCTTTTTGGATAGCTCATAATAAAGATTATATAAATCTTCTATACTAGTAAGTAGTTTCTTTTTACTTTGATACTATTTTCTATATCTTAACATTCTTCTATTATATGTTTCATCATTCAGGAAAAGTGTTATTGCTGTATATTTTATATACTTATCTTGATTGTCAGCATTATGCAAATTTTTTACATATCCAGCATATTTACTAACAAGCTTACTATCTTTTCTATATCAAAGATGAAAGGCCTCTTTTATTATTTTGATTTGTGCTAATTCAATCATTTTCTATGTAATATCTTGCATCGTTAACTTTGAGCCCTGCTCATTTATTAAACTTGAACTATTGTCTGTCATACTTAGTTTATACTTACTCTATATTTTGTTTTATATAATATAAATTTATTCAATATGAGTTTTATTATTCCACCTTCTCATAATTTCATTACTCAAAGCTAGATTATTTTCGAACATGTGAGAAAAAAAGCAGTTATCTTCTAATGAGTTTTTTAACTTACTCATCTATTATCATAAACTAGTCTTCATCAAATATATCTTCTATAATTTAAGATGCAATATTATCCTCATTTCATAAGTTAACTTCTATTTTATTAATTTCAATTTTCAGATATTTGCTCAATAATTGATTTACTATTTTATCCATTATTCGTTCACAATTTTGTATTTTTATAGTTTTTATACTTGTATATTTTTCTGATATACTTAAGATAATTTTTGGCACTATTTGATTACTTCCATAGATAAATATATAGTTTAGATTCTTGCACGTATCCAATGTTATCTTTAGTGAACTATTGTTACGAAATCTCCAATCACAATCCTTAAATGATATAGTTATTATATATTGGCATGTACTTGCAATGTCTTCCAATAAAAATTCATTCATATTAAAATAATTATCTATTCTTTTGAATTTTATCTGTTTTATATATTTTATCACATTTGGTAATGGTTTCTTTTTTATTATTTCGACAAAATTTCTAATATTATATTTATATAATTTAATCTTTCTTCATATTAAATATGTTGCACATTCATTCTATTATTTGTTAACATATAAAACTGGAAACAATAATTTATTATTACCACATAATCTTTTATTTTGTGTTTATAAATGTTGAAATATTTCTATTATAATTTTATTCAAAAGATTTATATCAGACTTTTTTGATAGTTTTCTTTTTGCTATCTGTGAAGCAGGATACTCTGTATCTAATATTGTATTCTGCTTTTTATCTTGTTATATTTTCTCAAAATCTGGTAAACTATTTGTAAAGTGAAGCTTATTTTTTTTGAAAATAATCAAATTTGGAATTTTTGGATATGACAGTTTTTATATAATTGATATACAATTTTTTACTACACAAACTCCATTTTTCTCAAATTTCAGCTCACTTATTTCTATTTCTGTTTTAAGTTCTACTTTTCCAGCTATAATAAAGCCATCTGTATATATACATTTTACTTGATCTCCTAGTGGCTTCACAATTTCTGATATTCTTTTTCGTGCAGATGCTAATAAGAATAGTTTTATTTGTGAATGTAAACTATAATTTTGTCTATTTCTTTACTTATATAATGCATTCCATAATGAAACTAATAATGCTTTACTAACTTTTTCTTCTATTTCACCTTCTTTTTTAATTTTGTATAATATATTATCCCATTCACCAAACATGTCTTTTTCTGTTATACATACATTTCTTTCATAAATAAATGCATTTGGTAATATATTCATTAATGTTACTTTTAATCCATTTTTTCGCACACATTCTAAATCATAATGTGTATAAATTTTATATAGATTATAATGTAAATATTTCATACATTGAAGACTTTTCTTTGGAGGATTTCCTTCTATTGTTGCTTTATTAATTCTATATGGAAATTTACTCCATTTTTCTGTAAAAGATGAGTTTATAGTATAAAACTTACCTGGTGCAATTGGTTATGATGCATCTTTTTTTATCATTTCAAATATATACATTGAATTTACATCATATTGATTAGCTTTTTCTTCATATCTTTCTGCAAATATTAGAGCACCAGTTGTTGCTAAATATATTCATGCACTTTCTTGTTTACTTATTTTTTCACTTTTTTGAGGTGCTAAAGTGGTTTCTTTGAAAAATTTTATAGTTGTTAATGTATAATTTTCAGATTTACATATATCAATTCTACTATTGGTTTTTTTAGCAATAGCTTCAGACTCATTATTAATTCTTTTGTATGCTTCAATAATTTTTTCTCCATTATTTGCTTTAATAAAATGATATTTGTTATGTAATATGCAAAAATCTTCTTTAACTCTATACCATTTTCTTTTCTTATCATAAAACTCAAATTCATTTGCTATATTTTTATGAATTAAGATGGTTTTATCTTGGTAACTTATGCTATTTTGCTTTAAACTAGATAATGCAGAGTATTGAGGATGTTAAGCTTTGAGTCTTTAACTCATTTCTGATTCTCTTATCTAGAGGTTGACTGCCAGTGCACTTGCTTCTCTCAGCTAAAGTGTTGGTGGGTTTTCATTGAACAATATAAGATCACCTTTAGGAGTTGATGGCAGATTTTGCTCTGGAGTAACATTTTCAGTTTTAGGTGTATTTTGTTCTGGAGTAATGTTTCCTACATTTTGCATTATAAGAAAGCTAGTTGGCATTGTCCTTTACAAAGGTTTCTATTTAAATTTATGTGTTTATTAAGATCTTAAGTTTTACCAGTTCTTATTACTCAATCACAACCTGAACATTTAAGTATCTTAGCTATAGTAATATGTTTTTTCAGTGTTTTTTTTTAATATACCTGATCTTTTGTTTAAATAAAAAAAATTATTCTTTTATTGAAATGTTTAGTAAATATATCAAGAGAGGTAAATATATTAAAAAGTCAGGGGATAAATATACATGCGAATATATACACAATTTGAAAAGTCTGCGGATATGGGTGTCGACATCCTGAAGGGTGCCATGAACATTGAAGATCTAAAAAATGTGTTTTATATGATGATTGTGAAAAACCTACAGCTTTTGCTTATGGACATTGCAAAAAACATTCTAAAGGATATTATGTTATGCATTTTATGCTCACAACTTCAGATGTTTGAAGACTATCTATGACTCTTTGAGACATCTTTTGGGCCTGCAAGACAATAAAATTTAACTATCTTTTTTACCATAGAAATTTAATTAATAACTAAAAGATTACTATGCTCTACTTTGCTCTGCAACTGCATCACTCACACCTAAGGTGTATACTTCTTAGTGTTAAGAACCTAATTGTGAATTAAACAGATAACTAATGCTACATACACTTCGCATTTGGAGTTGCTATGCTCTTCCAGTACAAAAAACTAAGTAGAAATCAAATATGATAACTATGCTCTGCTTCACTTCACAACTGCATTGTACACCTTTAGGGGAGTGTACTCCTTAGTAATAGAAAGCTAAATAGTAATCGAAATAGATATTAAAAAAGTACACCAAATATGAAGTATATATAAAAATACATCATTTATGTAAGTTTTTATATATTATATATAAGTTATATAAGTTATCAAGAATATAATAAAAACTTAAAAAAAAACAAGAATAAATAGTGTTATCAAAAAACACAACTGTGTACCTAAAAAGCCCACTATCCTACTACTAAAACCTCTGTATTTACTTACTACTCTTGTAAAATTAAATATTTACAACTTCAACAGGTGTGGGTCCCATAGCTTAGCGGTTAAGCTCCCATGCCCCCACAGTTAAGGTCAATGGTTCAAGTCTGGCTGGAGGCAAAATTAAAAAGATTTTAGCCTCTGTAACCCAATAAGGAGCCAGTAATTGAATGCGAAGCCCTGTGGTTAAGT